TGAATACTGCACGTTCTAGACTACTCTTCGGAGTACATATACTGCAGCTGTCCGTTCACGAGTAACACTCCTCGGGTATCGGTAGTCGAATAGTCTACCACCAAAACTGTTGTGTTCGCATCCATGAATCCTTGTGACTACAGGCATGGCAGTATAGATCCATGATCCCAAACAATGAGACGGGTCGCTTTTCTTGGCAGTGGCAGAAACGAGCTGAGCTGAGCTGAGCTACAGCCACCCCAAGCCACACCCCATTTCGTCATACGAGCTGACTTCATGGGTAAAGAGAATCGAAGCTTGTGTCAGAGTATGTGAACCACGCAGTTCCTACCGAATGGATGAAGCAGTCGTAAATTACCTGGCCAGGGAAAGGAAAGGAAGGGGGGGGGGGGGGATTAGTTTATTTGGATCTGATCTACTGTAGCACGATGCAACGACATAATGCCAACACTACCTTATCCTCCAACAAGACCAGCCCGGCTAGCTCAATCGGCAGAGCGTGAGACTCTTAATCTCAAGGTTGCGGGTTCAACCCCCGCGTTGGGCTTCATCTTTTTGTCTTTTTGAGATCCTCCACTTATTCCGTGCATAAATTCTCATTCCATGTGTGACTGGGATCTTGGTTTTTTTACAACAATTACAATCATCCTGTATAAAACTCCTAAGTTTGCTCGTTGTTGCCCCTGGCACGTCGCCACCGTGTCCGTTGGTTTGGGTTTGAAGTACATATATCCCGCAAACCATGGATCACGTACCGTTCGTTCAACTCCTCATCTCCTCTGCTGTAGTGAGAATTACATCTCGAATGCTGCTAGAGAGCCGGCAGTCCGGCTCAGTACTGCCACATAACCCACCTGCCTTCTGATAACCATGTACACCCGACCCCATAGCAAGTCGGGGCACGCCAAAGAGAGAAAGAAGCGCACCCGGCGGAAGCAAAGATTGCTCCAGCACCGGGGAAACACTAACTACAGCCGACACAGGGTATAACTGTAAGCAAGGAGTAGTAGTATCAATAGTTGTATGTAATGTCAGATACTGGTGATGATGCATTAAATTGACCAAGGCGCCGAAGCTTCTATATACACTCACTGTACCCATAACGAGTACAGTGCAATAGTCATGGGAGGGATAAAGAGATAGCCACACATGCAGCCCACAGGATAAAGATGAAATCAAGGAAAGGAAAATCGAGGATGCGCCTGCCTTCCACTCGCGCTAATTTAGAAAAGTCCAGCGCTGCCCGTGTATAAGAACAGAAAATCGGAACCGAAATGACTATCTCGCTAAAAACATCGTGAATCTCCCTCATCGTCGGTGTCGCATAGTGGTTGACCATGTTGATATACCTAGCAGTCGTAGGAAAGCAGAACCGAAGAAGGGTAGTGATGATTGTGGAACATTAGGGTCTACAATTTCGTCCCCTCGCGTCCACTATCGCTAAGCCTACGCGGACGAAGCGGGATGGCGGAGGTGCTGGGCCCGGCAGCAGCCGTGGGAGTATGGCCACCGGGGGTGGTGCCAGTGCGGACACCCCCAGTCCGTTGTGAGCTTTGGTGTTGGTGGAGTCGAGGGTTCAGAAGCCATTGCACCTGCATGCGTATACTGCTCACCGCGGCGTTGGTGTGGGCCATGTCCTCCTTGATGCGGAGGCATTCGCTCATGATCGCCATGCTGGCGCGGGCGTCGAGATCCGTGATGGCGTGGGATAACTGTCCGACTTCCTCGCGGAGGGACTCGTGTAAGGAGAGAAGATAGTTTGTCGTGGTGGCGGTGTATTGGTTGGAACTATCGATCTGGGACTGGCTGTTGGGGGATGTTGAGTCGTTGTTATTGCGGCGGGGTGGGGTAGAAGTCGTTGCGCGATCATCCGGGCCAGCAGAAGCAGTTGGCGACTGGGCCAGGGTGGTTCGGATGTTCGCTAAAGCGTCGTCGAAGATCTCGTTCCGTTGTTTGAGATGGCGAATGGTGAGTTCGAGCGAGTCGAGGCGCGCATTCTGAGCGTCAAAGTACGGGCCCATAGAGATCAAAGGGCAGGTTTGCTCGTGCGTGGCTAAGTCGGCGCGCTTGAGTTGAATGGGACAGCCGTATTTCGAGGCGGCACAGCCGTGAATGGATTCAGGGCAAGAGTCTGCATGTTGTTTGAGTTCTCTGCGTAGGATCGTGGTATGGCAGTCTGGGCAGGTGGTTTGGAGATTGGGGCATAATTCGTCAATGTGTTCCTGTCGGAGGCACAAGGTTAGCAGGCCATGAAAATGCAATGCAATGAACCCGGAGTCTAATAGTTTTGTGCGCACCTTATAGTCTTGCTCCATGATATTACCCTCGCAGCGCGCGCATTGGTGGAGTTCATGCAAGCATCTCCCCTCCGGGTCGAGGTCCTTCTTCCGTGTCTTCAACCCACATGAGCCCAGCGGACAGTCCATCGGTCTATACCCGCAGTACTTTTCAACATGAGTCTGAATGAACACTCTTGGAGCCACTTCCTCACACCCTTCGATCCGAAATGGGCACCTCACTCGAATCTCGTCGCACATGTTGACCAGGAGACGGGGGAGTTTGAGGTAAACTCCGCCGGTGGGTGTGCGACAGGCAGGGCACGTAAAGTCGTCTCGAGATGCTGCGAAGGTCGTGATGGCCGATACAAGGCATTTCTGGCAGAATACGTGATCGCACTTCAACCGGACTGGGTGTATGAAGGGGCAGTGGCATATCGGACACATAAGATGGTCATCGTAGCTGGAAACGTAGTCCAGTGAGCGCAGGTCGACGCTCTCGTCGCGGTCGCAATTCGCCTCCATGACCAAAAGGTCTTCAAGGGTGATGTTTGTCATGTTGAGATGTTTTGCTCTGCCATGAGGGGTTTCTAATATGTGATAAGAGCCTCGAGATTGATCCTCCGCCCGTCCGGGAGCCGATTCTGCGCAAGGAGGTAGAGGAGGAGATCAACCGTTTAATTGCCGTTCTTGAACCGGGGAACGAAACGATAGCTCGAAGCAAAGACCCATGAGGGGGCTCGAAAGGTGACCAAAAGAGGGTATATCGGACGAAAAGAGTGTTTGAGGGCGCGGGTATGAGTCGGTCAAGGAAGGAAGATGTAGTGACCTCGGGAGGGAGCGCAATTACTGGGAGAATGGATGAATTGCGGGGAGGGAGCGAGACTGACCGATGGAATTCAATGCGGCGCGGAGAGCGGCAGATCCACCACCAGCACACTGGCACTACTGCTGCTGCAGCCGATCATCCCTCGTCCTTCGCCATCTCATCTCCAATCTCACTTATCCTCTCTCACAACGAACTCCCAATCAAGCCACCTCAACCCATCTCTTGTCATATTTCTGTCTCCACCAGCCCGGCGCTGTTCTTCTTCCCCGGCGGAATTATCCTAAATTAGCGCAGTCGTCAAACAGCCTGACACGAAATCCGTACAATCCCACCCGACCGTTCCGCTGTCTACTCCGCAATCATCATCGCATCTCACCCACCTCGAACGCCTCTCAAGACACCCAGACCCTCTCATTCACGAGCCCACCAACCTCCTACTTCCTGCCTCTCACAACAAATCGCCACCATGCCAAACCCCAGCCAACTCCTCCTCCTCGCCGACCACATCAAGCTCTCGCTCCTCGAGCGTCAACGCGCCATCTCCCTCAGCCTGGAGCCCAACAGCCAAGACGGCGAGATCTCGCGGTCCCTGGACTCCTTCAAAGAAGGCATCGACGCCATCGAAGCCGAGTGCGCGCAGCTCGAAGCCCAGAAGGGCCGGCACGATGACGACGTCACCGACCTCCGCGACCAGCTCAGCCACCTCCACTCCCAGCACGACGAGCTGTCCGCTCAGTTCCACGAGATCACGACTGCCATTGCCGAGGCGGCCTCTGCTTCCTCGTCCGCATCGTCCGGCTTCGCCAACCACGTGAAGAACTCCTCCCCGGACCTTAAGCAGCCCGTCCCGCAGCACCCGTCCTCGAAATCCGTGCGCTTCATGGACGCCGCGGCGGCGGCCGAGGCGGCCGAGGCCGACGACGAGGAGCACCGGCGCAACCTCTTCCGGCCGTACCGCGACTCGCCGTCCCCGCCGCCCGGGGCCAGCGCCGCCAGCATGGACGGGCTGTCGAACGAGCAGATCTACGATCACCACGCGCAGGCGCTCCGGGACCAGGACGAGCATCTGGACCGGCTGGGCGAGTCGATCAGCCGGCAGCACCAGCTGAGCATCCAGATCGGGGACGAGCTGGAGGGCCATGTGGCGTTGCTGGATGATCTGGACGGGCATGTGGATCGGCATCAGGGGCGGTTGGACAAGGCGAGGAAGCGCCTGGATCGGTTCCGGCGCAGTGCCGGAGAGAATTGGAGTATGATGACCATCGTCGGGTTGATTATCACGCTGGTGATCTTGATCGTGCTTTTGAAGTGACATTTTCTTTAATCTCGCGGGTTCGGAGAGTTTATATATATGGTTTGTTTTGGGTTGGGTTTGGGGGGTCGTTTGTGATTCCCAGGAGGGCGAGTCCGGCGTTTGTACTGTGTTTGAGTCGTGTTTTGTGTCTTTCTTCTCTCCCTCCCCTCCTTTTTCTAACTACCCACTCCTTCGTCTGTTCCCTTCAGTTAATATATACCGACAGCAGCTATCATGTTTTTTCTTCCCTCCCTCATTGACGGGACTGCGGCGTTGCGGGGGTACCTTATCATCATACATCTACACCCAGGGTTTGGTCCATAGCTACTACACACAAGATGGAATCCATCACACAGTACCTAGTACTTTTTATACAAGGAGACACACACCCACAATCAAATCCACCACTATCAGAATCCCAATCCACCATCCTCTACCCATTCCACAGCATCAAAGCAAATCAAGAAACCCTCTTGGAAGAATAATATTGAATCTCATCTAACCCAGATAGATGAATTAAAAAAAAGCCTAAACCCCCCAAACATACATACATAATACAAGACGCAATCATTAACGATCAAAAAAAAGACACACAAGGAATCTATTGAGTCTTATTCACGTTGCCCTCCCGGTTGGGCAGACCTTTCGTGCGCTCCTGCAGCGTCGCAAAGTCCTTGTCATCGCTGTCGATGTCACCCCGATCAGCCTTGACCTGTGGTATGGCGATGCGATTAGTATACTCTGCCGCTTCGGAAAGCTAGGGATTGAAGGGTGAGGGTGAAGGTGACAACGCACCGAAGCTTCACTGTTGCTAGCCAGCTCCTGCTTCCACTTGGCGGTGCCTTGCTTGCTGTGCTTGAGCTGGTCGTTCTTGTGCTCTTCGTAGATCTTGTCGAGGTCGTCGCGGTCTGGTGTTGAGGGAAGGGGGAGGGTCAGTATTCTTGGGGGTTGGGTTGGGTTTGGCAATGCGGGAAAACTCACTGCGATCGCTCTCGTTGAGGCCGGCGCGGGGAGCGGAGGTGTGCAGAGCGGAGGTCATGGCGGGGCGGAGGGGGGTGGCCAGACGAGGGGCAAGGGTCGTGCGGACGGTGGTGAGGAAAGACATGATGCTGACTTTAAAAATTGCTCTGGGAGGGGGGTTTTTGTCAGTGTCTTCTACTCTTGTCTTTCGTTTCGATTGCTGTTGTAGCGACTGGGTTGGCGGTGGTGGTCGAGATGAGGGCAAGGAGTTGATGGTAGTGAACGAATAGTGTTGGCGACGAGGTAGAAAAAAGGAAGACACAGCAGGAATGATGTCAATGACACCAGCGCTGAGAGTCTGAAGAGCTTACCTTATTCAATTGATGGATTTTAGATAGAGAATGAATATCGATAGTAATAGAAGCTATCTCAGTGGATGGGAAAAGTAGATGTAGTACAGTAATAACGAACTTGGAAACAATGCAGGAAGGATGGGGGGGACGCTTTTTAAAACAGCAAATTGCAATTTCCGTTCTGCCTCGGGTAAAGGGTTAAAGGTATCTACGTCGACGTCGGTCCAGCCCAGAAAAATGACTCCATTATTCGCTGAAGTAAGTTGTTGCTGGAGTGAGTGAAGGCGTGAGTGGTCAAGACGAAAAAGTCGCATTCGCGTTGCAAGGTGACGTCATGGATAGCACATGCGGGTTTTCTCTCTTCTCTCCACTGACGCCCGTTGCCTTTGACCGGCGTGGAGTACAAGATTAGCACAGGTCCTGTTTGAGAGGGCCATGCTGCTACCTCTTCTGGGACTGTACCACTGAGTTGTATGTCCATTCCAGTACCTCTTACTTGCTTAACTCTGTAGATTGTTGGAATTGAACCGAATAGGTTTTCTTGTATGTGTTGTAGGTGGTGAGTTCAACTCAAGTCACTCAGCACATGTAAGTTAGTATCCCTTGATCCGGCCAGGCCAGCGGGTTGAAGTGCGTCTGCCATGTTTGCTGCTGCAGATCAAGGCTATGACATCACCCATACTCCCCCCTCAACACACTTTCTTAAGTTTTAGAAAAATCCCTTGTTGTCGCGTCGACATAGTCGCCAATTCCAATGGATATGATATGTTTCTCATCTCCATGGATAAATTTCATCGTCAAAACTTCTTCACCGAAGAGCTCGCTTGAGGCACGCATGGATATATTTTCCGAGGCATCGCCACCACAGTTGGAGCGGAAGGGGCTCACATCACCTCTTGTTAAGCCTGTCAACAGCCATGGTACTGGAATGATATATCTCCCCCTGCAACATGAATGAAGTGCATCACTACGTGGTGATCTGGCAATCCACTCCATCATCCTCGCAATTGCAACTCCACAGCCTGCAAAAACAACGCTGCCGCCTGGATGATCTAGCAGAAGTGATACTTCGAAGGAATGGACACTCATTAGAGCAAATGGTGGAGATTGCGCAAGTCCAAACTAATGGAACAACTATGTATAGGCATTACCCGCATGGTCAACAAGTTATAGACATAGGAAACTCGATGGAAGATGAACCACCCAGGGAAAACATCATACACTGCATATGGATCACACTCGCCGGGAGTCCCCAGGTACAGAATTATCCGAACGAATCAACGCGGAAGCAGACAGAAGTGAAACAAAGTCGTCGTCGGGCGACAGAAGAAAGCAACATCGGTCTAGACTTCGCTGCGATGGCGAAAGGTCCCTCAGAACTCCACATCCAGTCCATGGATTTTCACAGCCAGTTGACCTGAAACAGCAACAAGCACCGCATGTCACCAACCCCCAAACCATTTACATAAAGATTTTCCAAACGAAAAGAAATGACAGATGAGCCAGAAGCAACCAAAACATCCCAACCAACACAACAAAACCCAATGCAGACGTATATCGTTTCCGCCTTTCTAGATCCCTGAAAGCATGAGATAAAAATCCGTCCCACCCAAAATTGTGCACAAACACCGAGCCAAAAATAAGATGAATAAACCGCTGAACATGTCTGGCATAGCCGCCAGAAATCCAAAAGCAACTCCAGAACCTAGATGAGCGCCTGAATGGCAGAAAGTGCCGCGCTTTCTATACATCGTCGCGGACAAAGGCAAAGCAGGTGATTTTCCCTAACCGGATGAGGAAAACAAGGTATCGTTGGTGATGAAACGCAGAAATCGAATCGCAGGCGCCGTCGCTCGCAAGAAGCCGAAAGCATCAGAGTCTAGGTATAAGTGTGTTCGAAGTCGTCATCGGTAAAAGGTGTATATACAGAGAATAACTGGTTTAGCCGTTGGCGTTTTTGCAATCGTCAAGCGAAGAAGGGGGAATTTGGGTTTGATCGTGAATGCGATGGCCGTGTCGAACAGAAACAAGCAAGGAAAGAATTATGACCCGCGGTTAGGGAGCCCGACAATGCAGAAGCCGGACGAAGGAAGAAGAACGTGCCATGGGCGAAAGTAGGCCCGATTGCCAGTGGACTGGCGACATGTCAACACACGGTTCTTACCACCGACGCTGAGCATTCTGCATCGAGGCAGGCGAAATTGACGTGGGCGGGCTCGTCAAGGTCATGCCGGTGTTGGGGTTGACAATAGGAATGACCTTGCGGGTGCGAACGGCAGATGGCTGTTGGTAGTTCACGTGACTGAGGTTACCGGTAACCCCTGAGTGAACATAGGCATTCGTAGACGCAGGAGACAACGAGATGGAAGGCGTAACCTGCTGCACGGGCTGAATCTGGTGCTGAAGAGGAGACGAATCAGGAGAGCCACTGGAAAGTGACGAGCGATCCGAAGATGCGGAGTGGATCGAGTGCAGCTGAAAGAGAAATCCTGTCAATAGGCTGTTCTCGAAAAACGGCACATTTTGCCTGGTCGGGACGAGTGACAAATACATACATCATCTTCTGTCAGTAGCCCGGGGCAGAATTCCAGGTCATCGTCCAGGTCGAAAGAGCGTCCAGCCTCAAATCGTGCACGAAAAGCAGTCACCGCGGGAGCCTCGGCAAGCTCCCTCATACTCTTGACACCGCGGAATTGGCGCTGGGCATTCTGCGCGGCCATTTTGGGTCCTCGACGAGAGCGACCGCCGTGGTGATTGTTCGAGGTCGTCATGTGGGTGGCAGCGCCGTGGTGAGGGTGTTGGTGCTGGTGTTGGTGCTGGTGGCCGTAGAAGAAGGTCGACATCTTGACGGTATGATGGGTGGATAATGCAGCGAACGACACCGAGACGTTATATCGTTGAAAAAGTAGGCTCGAGGGTGTTTAAGTGGATACAAACAAGGGTCGACGCTCTGGAATCCCGCAAACAAGTACTCCGAACAAACTAGACGAACCAAAAGGGAATAGGGTATGTGAAGAAGAATGACAGAGAGTTGGGATGGAATGTGTGGTGAAAGTAGTGGTAGTGGTAGTGGTAGTAGTAGTAGTAGTGAAGGTGAAAGGAAACAGGAACGAAACGGATCAGAAGTGAGAATTGGGAATGAGAATTAAGCAAGCGAACAGGGGGGAAGTAAGAAGAGTAAATGCGAAATGGAAGCGGAAGTGGAAGAATAAGAAGAGAGACTGAAGGTGGAGAGGGGGGGGAGGCGGTGGTGTGAATTTGCGCGCTTAGTTTGGGTTGTGGGATGGGGAATCGATCATTGACTGTGAACAATGGGTGGGCGGGACAAGAAAGGTGGAAGAGAGAGCGAGAAAAAGAGCCGTGCAGCGGGCGCTCGGAGCGGACGGGAGGCGAAGGCGAGAAAGACAGAGAGAGAACAGAGAGAGGAAAGCAAGAGGGGCTGAGCCAGTGGAAAGGAAGTTCAGTGGAGACCCGCAAGGGAAGCGCGGTAACTTACGTACCTGGCTTGTATGAGGACGGAACGGATGGAACTACCTAGTATTCATTCCTTCATTCGAGTCCCTTGTCCCCTAGTCAGTGGTTAATCAGTCCCTGGAAGCGGTCGATCTGCAGAGGGTTTGGACTCTTCGAGAGAGCCGAGCCTGGGAATCGCGGTATTCGCCGCTGCCGTAAGGTATTGTTAACATGGTATTCCAGTAATGAATGGTTACGAGTGGTTACAACTGGTTTCAGACCGGTCGGCGCTAGCCAGGTCACGCACCATCCTTAGGGCAGGGAGTTCAACCAACCAGAAACTCATCAACCGATGCTCAGTGGCAAGGCAAATCCTCCAAAAGCCAATTATCGCCGCTTGAGACGTTCTCAGTGGGCTTATGGCAGCCACTGGACAGTATGAACCAATGAGGAGATGTTTACTCACTGTAATCGACCGCTAAGGCGGGTGAAAGTGACGTTGAGAAGTACCGATCTAGTCCTCTTTCAGCCTAAAACCTACATCCTACATCACCTCGACGCCTAATATCTGGGACCTCAGAGCGCTTCCATCTCAACAGTAACTACCTTTTCAGTCGTGCAGGCGGCGGCTGTCGCTCGGCTGGTTTATCTTGAGTTTCTTAAGGCTGTACCGTATATTGTATGAATGCAATCTAGTTACGTACAGTACATGCGATGATGGTATGACGATGACGGGACCGGCAGTGATGCGGCCACCATTGGGGTTGTATGATGCATAGGTACGGAGGACGCCCGTTGAACTTCACAACTGGAAGGTGGGGGATCTTCGGCTATTATTGATCAGGCTATCGTCTCTCCTCTCGCAATTGCATGTACGATGACGACGGGCAAAGATCTCCAGATGAGAATACAAGATCGTGATGCCAACTTGCACTCATCACTGCTTGCTGGCTTTGTACAAGTGTTCATTGTTGGAAGGAAAGGAATTCAGGGGGGGCAATAGTCGTCCATCGTAACTGTAATTCAGTCAGGTATTAGATTCAGCGGCGTCTCGAAAAGGGAAAGGGCCGGTATGTGGTGGTTTCCACTTCCGAAGACAGGCATGCGCTGGCAAACAGACACAATGCCCACTACGACATCTGCGGGTAATGATTTGCAAAGGCGTGAGTGTGTGCACATCAGTATGTGTGTGGTGAGACCCACCCTGCAGAAGCTACGGAGTAGAGTGATTCGCACCTTTTGGCCCTTGAACCGTGCCATTGCGGTTTGAGGGGTGTCTGAGGTACTGGGAGTGTGTTTGAGAGAAGACGGAAACCCTCCTAAGATTGCCGAGCACTGG